GGTCTCCTCTCTTTCCCTCACCCCATGTAAATCATCCAGCAACAAATTGTGCTAATTTTACTTCTCAAATAGTCCTCAAACCACTCTTTTCCCTCCGCCTAATTGCCCAGATAGAGCGCCTCTCCATCTTCAGCTGCATTACTGGAATGGCCGAGTCCATCACTTGAGCTGCCCAATAGAAGAACATGTTCAGGGGCACCTGGGTGGCTCAGTCGGTTAAGCATCTGCCTTCGGCTCAGGTCATGATCCCAGGGTCCTGGGATCGAGCCCCACATCAGCCTTCCTGCTCAGCAGGAAGCCTGCTTCTCCCTTTCCCCCTCCCCCTGCCTGTGTTCCCTCTCTTGCTATGTCTCTCTCTGTCAAATAAATAAAATAAAAAAATATATATGTATGTTCAAAAGGCCTACCCAAAAACACTGTGCGCCTGTCTGAACCCTTCCCCATCCCCTGAAGCTGATGGGAAAGTCAAGCTCTCCTTAACCCGGTCTCTAATAGCCCCTGGAGGCTGGCTCCTTGCCTACTTTTTCTTCCTCATCCCCCGCCCCCCCAGCCCCACCACTCCCGGATCCTTTAGCAGAGCTAAATCCAAATGCCCCCTAGGCCCTAATCAGGTTATCACTGCTCCAGGCTCATGCTGATCTTTGGCCTAAATTCCCTTTCCCACTTGTGCCCTTTACAGCCTCCTCAGGAACTGCCTCTTCCAGGAAGTCTTCCTGGATTTCCTCCATCCCTGCCATTGGGGGCAGGTGTTGCCCTGGGCCTGCTGTACATTCCATTTACAGATTCAGTTGGAATGTTCTCTCGACTTCTCCCTCCCATTGATGATTGGTAAAGCTCTCACGATGTCTCCCTCATCTGAGTGTTTTGCAGGTACACAGTGCATAAATGTCTGTGAAACCCAACCAAACAGAGAACGAAATGCCCAAGATGAGACAATGAATAATCTCTAAATCCAGAAGAAGAAAAGTAGAGAAACACTGAAGGTAAAAGGATAAAGTAGACTCAAAACAAAACAAAACAAAACCAAAAAAGCTATAACCAAAATGAATCAAATGAGAATTTATTTTAAGAAATAATGTACAATAAATAAATTTTAAGAAATAATGTACAATTAGGTGGCTCAGTCGGTTAAGTCACTGACTTCAGCTCAGGTCATGATCCTGGAGTTCCGGGATCGAGTCCCACACTGGGCTCCCAGCTCCGTGGGGAGTCTGCCTCTCCCTCTGACCTTCTCCCCTCTCATGCTCTCTCTCTCTCTCTCTCAAATAAAAAAACTTAAAAATTTAAAAAAAAAAGAAATAATGTACAATTAAACAATGAATCTTGGAACACTGAAAAAATTAAATTAAAAAAAAAACACAGAAATAATGTACATTAACAGATTAACAGTATCCGGAACTCACTTGTGGCTGGCCAAAGATATGTGCTAATTTCTGGAGAGATCTAACTCGCATCTCTCACCGTGAATTAATAATTCTGACTTTTACATCAGTTGTTGAGTTCAGGTTCCTAGGAGTTGTTCTGGTTGGGCCTACACAACCCTAACAATTTCCCTGTTTCTAAACACCGCCAAATTAAGATCCAAACCCTTCTCTGGCTGCATTCACCAAGGGAAAGCCACACGGCAAATCCCCAGAGCCGTTTTAGACCTTCTCTCCTTGGACTATGGGTGGCCTGCTCTGGAATTTGGCCCATAAAGATCTTACTTTTTCATGAATATGTTTGGTGGTTTGGCCAAAAAGTAGCCAACAGGCCTTAAATTCCTATGCTGGTCACTGGCCTGCCTCCTCCTTCCCTCCCAAGGCAGTTTTCTCTTAAAAACAAACAAACAAACAAACGAAGTCAGCATGGACACACAGGTGTGCATTTTCTGTGTGCATAGAAGTAGCTGTCCCCAACTGCTGACACCGAAACCCTGCTTGAATCTTCACTGTCCCCATTCGTATCCAACTGCCCTCAGGATGCCTCCCCCTCCTTACCACAAACCTACCTCCCTCCCCCAAAATTCACCCCCTCTCCCCGCTACCCCGCAGCCTCTCGCTTCATTCTTTCCTGTTTCATTCCTTTCCTTAGGACCCTGGCGTTGTTCTCTGTAACACAGTGTTACTTTGCACAGCGCCGTTACTGTTCTTTTGAAGCAAGGCATGTATCCATGTTTGGCTCAGGACTGATTCTATACATTTTTCAAGAGTGTACAAGACCTCTTTTAAATCCCGGTACCACCTCGCCTTGGGCCCTCTGAGCTCCACCGCCATCCAGGGTTGCCCAGAGAGCAGGTTCTGTTAGATTGTCCCTTGCCGTGTCTGGGCCTGCCTGGGAAGGAGGTGGGTACAGGCCCAGGGAACCCAGGCCAGAAGCTGCCTGTAGTGAGTTCAATAGTGACTAATTCTCTCCAGAGTCTGGAAGAGGAGGTGCCCGGTGTCACTCCTAAGCCAGAGGCTGGGAATCTGCCAGGCATCCCTCCCTCCTCTCTCTGGCTGAAAAGGAAGGACCCTGAGGCTTCAGAAGGTGGTGGGGACAAGAGGGCAAGAGATTCAGGTCCCTGAATCGGCTGTGGAAGGTCACCCAGAAGACATCCCCACTGGTCTTGGCAAGAAATGCCCTGGGATGCTGGGTTTGCTATGGCACCCAGCATCTCTGTGGCTGGTATACTTTTGCTCCCAGATCATAGGAAGTCAGAAGTCTTTTTGGGCCCTGGCCATTGTGGGCTGCTTCATCTAGTGCCAAGCCCTAGCATCTGCTGGGGGCGGGGGGGGAATCAGTGCACCTGGTGTGCCTGGAGGGGCCACCCTGGTTTTCTCGGGGCAGTCCTGGTTTACACCCATTGACCCCTCTTGGAAAGCACCCTCCTTCTCTCTCTAAAGTGTCCCTGTTCGATCCCAGCCCCAGTGCTTACTGGCCAGGTGCCTGGGAAACTGACCTCTCGAGGCCTCAGACTCTTTATCGACCAATGAAGAGAGATGAGGACACAGACTTTGCAGAGTTGGCAAGCGTCACCCAGCATAATGGATTTGAAGCCCTCGATGGCAGTCCTGGCATGGACTAAACGTGAGCTTTGACTGGGGTTACTGTCATTAGAATGATTTGCTAAGCAGTCGTCCGTGGCGGTTCAGCATCAGCGTCTCCCGAGCCTGGGGAGAGGTCGCGAACAGGAAAGGGGCAGGGCGTGCATGCCAGAGTCCCACAGGGGGCCTGGGGCCGCTCTCCTGCAGAAGGCCTACGTCCGGGGTCAGTGTCTGGGAACTCGGATGTCGGGAGGGATCCCCCATTCTCTGGTAAGAATGGATCCAGGGGAACCTGCCCTGTTCAGTCGGTGGAGCATGTGACTTTTGTTCTCGGGGTTGTGATTTTGAACCCCCTGGTGGGTGTGGAGCCTTCTTAAGAAACCAAGACAACAAAAAAAAAGATTCTGTGTCTCAAATGTTCGTTTATGCTGAACACCTGCTTTCCTTCTGGGAGGCCTGGAATTCTGCTACACACTGGGCAGAGGATCCCCGCATGACCAGCACCCAGTAAACACCCCCGGGGCTAGGGCTCTGTTGAGACTCCCTGGATGGAATCTTACACCTGGAGCTCCCTTCCCCCGGACCCCCTACAGACTTCGCTTGAAGGGGTAAAACCAAACATCCTGAGTGGGACAAAAATAAACATCAAGCTTTTGGCTTTCCTTCTGGGTCCCGTATGCAGCATTGCCTCTGCATCCCATCTTGGATCCCATCCTCAAACCCACTCGATCATTCTCCGCATTGCCCCCCACCGGGCACCCCGCCATTTAGCCGACTCAGATTGGGATTTGCCTCCCTTTTTTGTTTCACTTCATCAGAGAGGAATATTCCTCTCCATCATTATGGAATGAAAAATGGATACAGTCGTGTTTCTGAAGGTCTTTTTTCTCTCCCAGTTTGTTTCCCAAAGGAGAAGATCTGCAGAGCTGATGGTTTCCCCAAATCAAAGGGCTTGCCTTTCACGGCGAAGGACTCACAGCAACCGAGCGGGGCAAGGCGAGCTGTGGGTCAGCCTCTGAGCTCGAACCCGAGGCTAAAGATAGAACCTGTTCATAAAGTTTCAAATCTGTGGTAACAGCAGGCTGTCCATAAAAAAACTGACCCTGCTAAAACATCTGTAGCCCCACAGTTTGGTCGTTGAGTTGGATGAGGGGAAAGCTAGCGGTGCTCAAACTTCTAGAGGTTTTAACGAGGCCTGGTGGCTGGCCCCGGGACCCTCCACGTTGGATCCTAGAGTGTCTGTTGGAGGTTCGGACCCGAGTCCTCATGCACGTTCCTTTCCACAGGATGAGCGAGGCTGAGGGGGATTAGAATGGCGTCTGGAGACCCCCTAACAGTCTGCTCACCCAGCATGTGGGTCCTCAAACCGATTCAAAATTGTTTGCAAAGACGGAGAAAGTGCAGATAATAACCAGGTCATGGGAGCGTGGAGTTTGTCAGATCATTCTCTGCATTTTTTGGGTTTGTTTGAAAATTTCCATAATGAGAAGTGTTTCGCAGAAGTCACATTTGACCTAAATTATATATGTAAATATATAAAAATATGTACCCAAAATATATCTGTAAATATGAAAAAGAAAGTACATGGGTGGCCGCCGTCTGGTGGGTTGTCTGCTAGGACCCCAAGGAACCTGCAGGTCCGGAGGGGCACGAATGTTGGGGAAGGTCATTTGCACGTTCAAGTTTGAATTATGATGGGGCCATCTTTCCCAGCTTAAGAGGCAGATGGGGAGGGGAGGAAAACACTGCAGGAAAAAGAGCCTTCAGAGTCACTGCCATGCATGGCCCTCATTAGGATCCTGATGCAAGCCAGTAAAAAAGCACTGAAGAGACCATGGGAAATGTCTGAACACTGACTAGATACCAACGGGCCTCTCTTTCTCCTGGGGACACACGTCCACCTCCACGGGACAGGCTCCTTCAGAGGTGTTTGGTTGCTAGGCTAGGAAGTAGCGGCTCCGAGCATCAGACAGAGCTACAGAGACAGAGCCAACGTTCTTGATAATACTGTTTATTGTCCATTGACAGAGCGATCACTCAAGAATGATACAAAGTATCAGAGACATGCACAGTCTGCTTGTCAACGTTCAACAGCTCTCACGTGTTCCCAGCACAGGAAGGTCTCAGACTTCATATTCCAGCAAAAATGCATTGCCCAAAAGTTAAAAAAAAAAACAAAACGAAACGAAACAAAACCAAACCCAAGCAAAAACAAACACAAACAAAGCTTTAAATTATGGCAGCAAGTCCGGTATTTCTTAATACTTATCAAGCAAAGGTTTGAAAATAACTACAATGTAAACTTCACTTTCAATATTTTGAGTTGCTTGCATGGAGACAAGAATGGAAGGAGGAACGAGCAGTGTGTAGAACAGAACATAAATTAAAGGATGCCGAATGGAGAGCCTTCTTCAACTACACGCACGCTGTAATTGTTGACTCTGATGGTATCTGAGTGGCTTTGTCTCTCAGCTGCCACTGGGCGCTTCCTCTTGCATTTTTTGTTTCTGTTTTTGTTTTCTGCTCAGCGTGGCTAGAAGACCAATGTGTGTGGACTGAGTATAACGGCCATCTTTTAGAACCAACCAACTCAAAGATGCTTTACTCTGTAATGATTTGAACCAGAGAACAAAAGGCAGCGGCTGGAAGAAAGCAACCACACTCAAAGAAGGAAAGAAAAGAGCTGAAGGCATCCACCACCATAGGCTAGCTAGCACGCCATGCTTTCCATTCTGGGTCAAAAGCTTCCACGATGCAGAAACCTTAAAAAAAAAAAGTGCAAGGCTAACACCTACCAAGGGTAATAAAAGACACAGCACAGGAATGATTACAACTGATGTCAGAAACAAACCGAAACATTTAAAAAATCAGCAGAAACAGGAGTAAATGTTACATATGATAACACCATACAGGAAGCAAACGGGGGGTGTTATATTGATTGGAGGGGTCTGGTGTTCTTGTATATACTGAAATCACATGGACTGGTCCATTATGACATCTTACACACTTTCTATCACTGTACAGCATGAAAGTACCCTCGATTCAGGGGCTGATCCCTGGCTATCCCCCTAGACTGCCCTAGAAAGGAAGTCATCAAAAATCTGTGCTGACCGGGTCCCGGCAGGCATGGGGGGCTACACGCCACGTGGGGGTCAGGGGTCTTACGGGTGGTTTGGGGTCACCGCAGAGTAGAGCAATGCTTAGAATGTGGTGACTCGAAGTGTTCTGCAGGAGGAGGGTGCACAGGCGGACACACGTGGGTCTCCGCGTGTGCATGTGCTCGCACACGTGCTCACATCCGTGTGTTTGCCTAATTTGCATAAGAAACTCAGAACAGTTTATACCGTACACAAGTCGGAAGAAAAGAGGACTTTTTGCTGAGCAATTTCTGCCTGCATTAACCCCCAATTTACCGGCAGCAGAAAGCTGTGCTTGGGGAACAGTTTCTCCAGTCCCCTAGGACGCTTCTTTTTTTTTTTTTTGGACCGAGAGATGGAATATCAAAAACCCAAGTGGAGGCTGGTACGGCTGGGATTTGGGTTCACAGATTATCTGAGAAGTCATCTTTAGAAAAGTGAGATGTTGGCCACAGTATCCCAGACGCCTGGAAAGAGATTCACTGAAACCCCCTACCTCCCCAATTTGTCCCTTCCTGGGTAAGACTTCACAACATGCCCAGCGACCTTCGCTCCCAGAAATCACGCCCAGCACAGTGACTATCCGTCTTTGTGGGGGGGGTCACGGTAAGGCTGTGGCACCAGGTGCGTTGGGGGACACCGCACAGCCCAGTTTTCGATGTCTTCAGGATGTGCAAACAGAGCACAGCCAGCCCGTGCTACCGCTACACACAACCCCGTGCAAAACCAATGTGTGCGACTCAGCTGGCTGCCCGATGCCAGGAGGAGGAGGAGGAGGAGGGAGCCAGACTGACTTCAGAAGCCCGGGAGTAAATGGCAAGGGGAGCCAAGTGTCCCCCCAAACGTCTGCCCTCAGGGCAGAATGCCATGGACTCCCCCAGCGTCGGGGTGTGTGGTGGGGGGAATGAAAAGGACTTGGATGATGGGGAAGCTTGTCACCCGCATCGTACAAGGCCCTGGAGCCTGGCTTCCACTGTGGATTCATGGAGTTAACTGGGGCTTCTTCAGGAGTGAGCCACTGGTCCAGGGCTTCTGTATTTACAGGAGTCACAGGTACTGGGAGCCCGTGATGGGCACAGAGGAGACAGGGGCACTTGCAAGGGGCGGGGACTGCTGCCTTAGGGCCAGAGGTGTGGAAGCTGCAGGAAACGAGGGACATGCCCCTCTCGAGATGAAAGGGACCTGGTAGGCCTGCTACACAGTCTCGCAACGACCCTCAAAAAGTTTCTGCAAAATGCACATTTCCAGGCTCTGCCCTGACCAGGCCTGGGGGACTCCTATGTATGGGACACCCCCACTCAGTGTTTGTGGCGGTGCCAGGGCTGGGGCTGGGCCCGTGCATCCTGCCCTGCCTGCCCCCAAGGGTGCCCAGGCTGGCAGACGGGGTGTGGGACCACGACCACTTTTAAAAGGGAGATGGGGTGGGAGGAGACTCACACTAATTTAGACCCACTTGGATGACTGTTTTATTCATGCTGTTTCCGGGAAGGGATGTCAGAGCTGGACCAGTCTAAACTCTTGGAGGCTCTTCCGTTGGCCAGAGGGGTGCTGTTGGCCTGCTTACGGGTCCTCAATATCGAGAAACTCCTGCTTGGGGGGCGCCGCCCCGCGGTACCACGCACAGGAGCCGTCACTTCTCTTGATGCAGGCGAAGAACTTGGCCTGATGCCCGTTGATGTTCTTCTCCGTGACCCAGTCCATCCAGAGGCACTCGTCCGGAGACGAGATGTAGCACGGGATCATGGGGCAGCGCGTGATCTAGGAAGAGGGACACGGAGGCAGATCCAGTCAGGGACCGAGGCCACGCAAGGGAGCATCTCCAGAACCCAGCCACGAGCCCAGCAATGACATTCAAGGGCAGTTTGTCAAGAATGAATGACCACATGAGCCCAGCGGCGGGGGAGGAAATGGGGGCTCTAGTTGAACCTGCTCCATCAGCAGCCTCTCCTGACTTCCCCTAGTCTCCGAACAGCAGCAGGCAGCCCACCTGGGCCGGGGGAAGGGGCCTGGGGTAACCCTCAGGCACTGCCCCCACACCCCCCAGCAGCTGTAGGTGCCCCCTCTGCTTTGGGCCATCTTGTCTACCATATCTGGGCATGCCACAAAGGCCTCAGCGGAGCGCCACCCTCCTGGGAGGAGAAGACAACCACAGAGGGTCCCAAATTTCCCGGAGCTAGGCTCCAGTCAAATAAAAAGGACAGCGTCTTGCTCTGAAGCATGCATGGGCCTTGAGAGGATCGGCAAGTAGGACTGTGGTGGAGGAACGTCAGTCCGCAAGAGGGAAAGGGAAGAACTCAGTTTTGTTTTGTATTTTTAAATTTAAATTAAACTAATTAACATATAGCATATTATTAGTCTCAGAGGCAGAGGTCAGTGATTCATCAGTCTTATATAACACCCAGTGCTCATTACATCACGGGCCCTCCTTAGGGCCTGGCACCCGCTCGCCCCTCCCCTGCACCGCTCCCCTCTAGTTACCCTCAGGCTCTTTCCTGTGGTTAGGAGTCTCTGACGGTTTGTCTCCCTCTCCGGGTTCATCTTGCTCTGTTTTTCCCTCCCTTCTCCTACGCTCCTCTGTTTTGTTTGCTAAGTTCCACAGACGAGTGAGATCATCGAAAACTGTCTTTCTCTGACTTATTTCGCTCGGCGGGACACCCTCGCGTTCCATCCACGTCATAGCAAGGGGCAAGGCTGCGTTGGTTTTGATGCTAAAGGACTCAGTGTTGAGTTCCCGCTGGCCACGGAGCCGCGTGCCCCCTGGACACGTAGCTGTAGGTCCGAAGTCCCACTCCAGAGGAGCCAAGGCACCGGCTGGCAACAACGCGGCAGCACAAGCAACAGCGTTCCCGGCAAGAGGCAAGGCGGGCAGCCTTCCAGCCCGACCCACGTCCGGTGGCAGAAGGGCCCTGGCACCGGGCGGGGCTTCCTGTGCTGGGGCTGAAGGCACAGGCGGGGGGCTGGAGGGCAGCGGGCGGGAGAGGACCCAAGCCGGGGGCCGGGGAGATCGCACGGTCTACAGCAGCACTTAGCACTTAACGTGAGCCCTGCTCCGGCTGTGTCTAGCCCCAACTCTGGGCTGTCTTTTTTCTTTTTTCTAAGATTTTACTTATTTATTTGGGGTGGGCAGGGGGCAGAGGGACAAACAGACTCCCTTCTAAGCAGGGAGCCCCATGAAGGCCTTGATCCCAGGACCCCGAGATCATGACCTGAGCTGAAGGTAGATGCTCAAGCGACTGAAATACCCAGGCGCCCCCTGGGCTGCTTTTGAGAAGGGGATGGGTGTCAGGGTTCTCCATGGCCCCAGCGCATGGAAATGGCTGGGATGTTCTTTCCCAAGGCACTCCAGTCTTTGCACTGGTACGTCCCCAGAAAGCACTCATGGCATCCTGTTCTCCCCACAAAATCCCTCCCCCTGGGAGGTTCTCCTTCCCAGAAGCTACAGGCCACGTGGCAAGATTGCAGGGACTTCTCAGATATCCCTCTGCAGGGGGCATGCCTCGGGGCTCTGTCCCTGGCCAGACAGCCTCACTGGTGGAGAGGCCGCACCTCCCCAGAGCCCTGTTCTAAGGACCCCGTGGATGGAGAGGGTCTGGCAAGCCAGGGATCAAAGCCTGGAGGTCTCCCTGGAGATGGAGGCGATGACGGAAATCCCAGAAGGAGGCGGCAGCAGCTTACCTTGCACTCACAGCCCATCTGGTACCTGTGGTTCAGGCTCTTCTTCTGGGTGGTGCTCAGGGTGTCCCAGGGCACGATGAAGTCACACAGGGTGATATGCATCTTGCCATTCCCCTCGGCCTTTCCTGAGGAGACAGAGGTCCTCGAGCTCAGGGCAGGTTACCGGTCCTCCTCCTCCCGCCACCCCTCGCACCCACGTGTGGCTTGGGCACGTGCAGCCTTGCTGCTCACAGTCCCAAGTGTTGTGGGCTGAGCTGCAGCCGCCCCGAAAGCCCTGTGTGAGAGCCCGACCCCCAGCACCTCAGAGATGTGCCTGTGTTTGGAGCTGGGTCTTTCGTGAGTTCAGTGAGATCACATGGGGGGGAACCACATCCGATAAGAAAAGGCTCCTCATAAGACGAGATCAGGACCCAGAGAGGCACGGAAGGACAAGCCCTGCGGCCACGGGGAGGAGACGGCCGTCTGTGAGCCCAGAAGCAAGGCTTCGGGAGAACCAGCACTGCCCACGCCGGATGCCAGACCCCCCAGCCCCAGGGCCTGCTGGGGGGAATCGATCCCCAGCCCGTGGTGCGAGCTGATGGATACACCGTGGACCATCTGTGTGGAGCAAAACTAACACCCAGAGCCCTCGGCAGACCCAAGAAAGGACAAAGGAAAAAAGCTCCCGTTTTCATTACAACGAACACTCAGACGCGTTTCCTTCCCACACTCTTTCACACGCGTGTGTTCCCACGAAAGAGATCACACTGCGTGTAGATCACACTGTTTCCTGTCTTATTTCTCACACACATGTCCTCCATTTGACGTTGACCTTGTCTGGGTTTTTCCACCAAGCAAAAACGTGGAATTCTATAAAATTAGAAATCGGCCCCGAATTCCCTTCATGGTGGGGGGGGTGGAGGGGGAGGTGGCACCGTTTGTCTTTTTGACCTCAGGCTCCTGATTCCAATCCCCGTGGACCTTTTTGCCACCGGTCCAAGCTCCCGCCGAGAGCAGGACGTGGAAGGACACGGAGATGCGGTGCAAACTGGTATCTTCCACGGGCCGGGCTGCGGGGCTCCTGCTGACCCTGGATGTCGCGTATAAATGACAGAGCCTCTCAGAATACTCAAAGGACACCCTTTCCGTACAGGTACAGTTATTAGGACTTGGTTGGGCATGCACGATGTGAAAATCTGTTACAACATCCTCGTGTGTCTGCCTTGGAAAAACACACAGTCTTTCTTGGAGAGAAAAACAGGAATTAATTAAAATTTGTAACTGAGGGTTGTAGGTTTCTTTTTCCTTTGGAGAAGAGGACTGCAGAAGAAAATTACAGTTCCTGAACAAGAGCGTCTCCTGGTGCCCAGCTCAACATGTGAACTTGAGTCATCGGCCCAAGAGGAGGTGGGCTGCCTCGGGCCATGCGGTCATTCCTGGGGCCGCTGCCAGCCGGGCTGAGTGGTTTACTGTGCCCCGTGATTTCTGGGTGGCCCATACCGACTCCAGGACAACAAGATGGAGAGCGTGTGCTCAGAAAGTAAACACCAGATTTGACCCAGAGCCATCCAACCAAGCTGGGGAAAGTAGTCAGCTCAGCGAGGTCCCCCTGTAGCGGGTACGCTGGCCCCTGCTGGATTTGCCTTTTATGGATCTTAGGTTCCACGGCCAGTTAGGAAACCCAGATGTGCCCCAGGTCACTTGCTTGCTCCCGGCATTAAAAGTGGAACAGTGGAAGTGGAGAGACACACAGTTACAAGCAGGTGTATCTTCAAATAAAATGTATCTTTTTCATTTTTATTATAAGCGGAGCCATAATGGTTTCAGTTGTAGCAAGCCTAGCAGAGGTGGGCTCCAGTTACTGGAACTGTCTTCTTGTTCAGACTGGGGACAATTTAATGGACCCATGTGAAGGAACAGCCCAGGACACGTACATGTCACGCGACGCTGCCAGACCTCCGATGGCAGATATAAATGAGTGAACTTCCACATGAGAACGTCGACGTTCGCAGAGTAACTGAGTAACTGAGATGATCAGGCTCTCTGCTTTCGACTCACGACGCCTCATTTGGACACAGAAACCTCTTCCTTCCAGAAAAGAGGCTGAGCAAAATAGATAAAAAGACTCTCCTACCACGTCCCCCGAAATAACACAAAGCAACCTCGCAAGAGAGTCGCTGCCAGGCTGCCGCGTGCAGCCTCTGCCCTCGGCTCTCGTTCCGGACCCACACTTTCTAAGCAGCCACGCGGCTTCCTCACGTGCCTCGTGGTCAGTGGGACAGGGACGGACGTGAGCCACATACACAGCAGACTGCACGCCAGGGCTTCTGGCTGCTGGACATAACCCAGCTTCCTGGCCATCCCCCCTGCAGTCCAGACGGTCCAACTCGTGGAATAAAGGGCGATGCCGAGGTCCTCAGAATCTCTGGGCAAGAGGCAGGACTGACTGACCACGAAAACGCCCCAGGAGATGACCACGATGTCCGGAGGTACCTCCGTAAGGAAGGGGACTGACCTCACCTGCTGGGGCTCAGCCCTCCTTTGTGTGTGCCGACCCACCACTCGGCGCCTCTGTGATGAAAGGTCTGCCTCCGACCCAGGGCAGGGAAGGTTCTCGTTGGATGTCAGCTCCCAGCACTGGCTTTCCCCCGGCCTCTCCTGGGCAGCTTGAAACACTGATGCCCAAGCCGCCCCCCGAAGGGCCTACTTGGAACTGCTCTACGGTGCCACCTGAGGTTTAGGACTTCTAACAGACTCCCCGAGAAATTCCAACAGGCCGTGAAGGCAGAGGGCTGCTGGCTCAGATGCTGGGGAGGCAAGACGGCTAAAACCTAGATCTCATGAGCAGGGAAGCAGAATGTCACACACCTGGGAGTCAGGAAGTCACGTCTGGCAGTGTGGCCCAGGCACAGGAGTGCCAAGAAATGCCTAGCCACTGGCTCCTCCCGGGAGAAAGAGCTCCAGCGCCCGGCACCTGCCAGAGTCTGTGTGGCAGACGCTCACGCCCTGATTTCAAAGAACCAACGAGACATCAACCAGGATTTTTAACAATTGGCATATGGAGAAAGTGGGTTCAGACACACACCACCAGACCTGGGGCACATTGTCCATCTCTCTACTCCTCTGTTTTCCTCATCTATAAAATGGGGACCACGTAACATTACCTTGGTTGTAAGAGATCGTAAGGACCAAAGGGAATCCACACGAGAAACTTTCAGAGGCCATCAGGACCAGGGAGAGGGCGATCCTAGTTCTATTAACAGGGAGACCGTGAAGCCTGTTGCATGAACCCAGACCTGGGTCACCTTCCCTTCCCAGGAGCCCACCCAGAAGACCCAGCCGGGCCCGCCTGCCTTCCGCACGTGCTTCTACAGCTCTGCAGTCTGCTCGGCTGCCTCTAGAGGGCGGTGTGAGGAGCTGGAGAAGGCCCGCGAGCTGCCGCTTTTGAAGGGTTATTCCCCGGAGACCAGCACAAAACCTGGAGCTGAAAACCGGAAGCCGTTGATTTCTTAGGGCAACAAGTTCCCCGAACCATGGGAGGTCTCGTCTCCTTTCCCTTCTCTCCACAGCTTATCTTTCTGACCATAAAAGCAACGGACGTCATTTGTAAGATTTTGCAAATACAGGGACGTATCAAGAGGAGATAAAACCGATGCAGCCCATTCCTGGCACATGCGGACCTGGTCCTCTCATAGCCCTCCCCGGGCACCTGCACCGCGCGCCCCGTGTTCCCTGCACCTGCCTGCCTCGCCCTTCCCTGGTGTCACGGTGACAGCACCGTCAGGAAGGTCCCTGCTTCGTGATTCTGTCCCCATACCTGCCTCTCTGGTCAACTTTGTTTTTCTTTCTGTAAAAATAGTAGACACCGCACATGTAAAATGGTGCAGCTGCTTTGGAAAACAGTCTGGCAGCTCCTCAAATGATTAAACATAGTCACCATATGCCCTGAAATTCTACTCCTACGCATCGGCCCGAGAGGGATGAAAACACAGCCACGCGAACACTTGGTGATGGGCGCTGACAGCTGCGGTGTGCATGTGAGCCCAAGGGCGGAAACAACCCCAGTGTCCACCGATGACAGACGGGGGGGCACGCTGTGGTCTGCTCAAAGACTTAGTATTCGAGCATAACAGGGAGAGAAGTTCTGATTCACGTTACAATGTGGATGAACTTTAAATAATGTCACGCTGAACACAGTGCTGAGTGAGGGGCGCCAGACACAGGACCACAGAGTCCACGCTTCCATTCACAGGACTTTGAAATAGGGAAACCCACGGAACCAAAAAAGAAAGAGACTGGAGCATGCTGGGCCTGGAGGGCGGGGAATGGGGGCTGGTGGGTGGGGAGTGGGGGCTGGGGAGGCAGAACAACAGAAGATTCGGGGTTCTCCAATGGTGGCCACGGTCGCAAGCTGCACGGGTTACCCAAACCACCGAAAGACGCCCTTTAACGGGGCGAATGGTACACTGTGTGAGTTACAGTCAATAAAATCTCGTAAGAAAACATTTAGAAAAGTCAACAGTGCTCATAAAAGAAGAAAAAAGAATCTCCCACCCTCCCCAAGGAGAGGGACAGACGTCTCAGTGGAGCAACGAACCAGACACCCAGATGACAGGCGTGAGCATTTTAAGGGAGGGAGGGGGTGTTACCCAAGGAGGGATGACAGCCGTGTCCTCTGCCCCACTCACTCCCCACTGCATCTCCCCCTGGCAGGGACCCCCATGCGTGCAGCACAGCTAGCCGGGGTCAGTGCCAAATCCTCCGGATCCTTGGATCTTTGCACCTGCTGCCCGAGACGGTCTCCTCCTCCTGAGCATTTGCTCACTGCTCGCAGCACCCCCTCCCCCCAAAAACCCTGCCTTATTTTCCCTCGTTTCTTCTCCTGCCCCCGCAGTGGGAGCCTGTGTGCACTTCCCTCCAGGAGAGCCCCTCCTGAACTCCCGTCACACAGGGCATAGGGCGAGTAGGCACCCGCCTAGTGTGGTTTTTTTTTTTCCTAAGATTTTTTAAAAGATCTTATTTATTTGACAGAGATCACAAGCAGGCAGAAAGGCAGGCAGAGAGAGAGGAAGAAGCAGGCTCCCCGCTGAGCAGAGAGCCTGATGTGGGGCTTGATCCCAGGAACCTGAGATCATGACCTGAGCTGAAGGCAGAGGCTTAACCCACTGAGCCACGCAGGCGTCCCATTTTTAAAGACTTTATTTATTTGACAGAGAGAGAGAGCACAAGTAGGCAGGGCAGCAGGCAGAGGGAGAGGGAGAGGGAGAAGCAGACTCTCTGTTAAGCAGGGAGCCTGAAGTAGGCTCTATCCCAGGACCCCGCTTAGCCAACTAAGCCACCCAGGGGCCTGTGTGTTGATTTTTTAAGTATTTTCAGTGGATGGGGGGAAAAGTACAAATCATCCAAACAGAAGAAACCCCCCAAATCACAGAGACTCGGATTCAGAATGTATTTTTATGATTAAACTCGGACTGTATAACAAAATATAACGATAGATGCGGGGCGCTGCCCCTCCACGCCCCCATCTCCACACACGTTGTAAGCCGGAGCCTGCTTCCCTAGGGAGCATCTCCACATCTGGCTCGGGACTCCCTTCCAGGAATAAAACGCGAAAATTCTCACCTCTTGGTGTCCACCCGACCGCCTGTCTCCCGTGGATACTGGTTTACTGTGTTTCCCCATCAAGTCGCACGAGTCCCACTGTTGTGGGGGCCCGGGCAGGCGAGAACGCACCAGGACGCCTCGGATGGGAAGAGGCAGGGGAGCCTGGAGGCTTCTGAACAGCCTTACGGGGTCAGAGCTCCCCCTGCGCCGCAGCCCTGGGGGCCAGTCCCCACGAACGTGCCCCACGCCTCGCCACATACCCACCTGCAATGAGATATTCCTTCTTCCCCCCGACGTCCAGCGAGACCCCGCACACGGCGGAGGAAGGGGCCGTGTAGATGAACTCGATGTCCTTGTCGGGGCCTTTGAACATCTGTGAGGACCGAGGTGAGACGTGAGCAGAGCCGGCCTGCACCGCAGATGCGCCGACCTGCCCCCGTGGGACCCCCGGGGTGGGAAAGGGGGACAGAAGGAATGCAGGAGCTGGACGAGAAGGCGGCCATTCCCACTGCAGAGTGATGCTCTGGAGATGCTTGTCACGTAGTGTGGCAGCTGTCACCAGGCTGGGCACAACAGGGTCCCCTGGAGGATCCCATCTCCGACAACACATGGGCTCTCCCTACCCCCGACAAGGTCGAGGGTGTATGTCCAGGTGACTCTGACCCATCATGGAGGACCACCGCCTCTGTGAAGTCCCACAACTCTGACCGAGCATTGGCTACTTGATGGGAGAGGCACCCTCGCCTCCATGGCCTTGGACAGGACTCCGCGGGCCAACGGGGCCTAATGTCCCGGCTGCTGATCTACTGCAGACAAGCCTGCTGCCCGGAGGTGGGTGCACTGTTCCAAGAGCCTGGCAGGAAGTGAGACCGCCACAGCCGGGGGTTCCTGCTGCCCCACAGGGTGGGGACAGTGACAGGTGGGGGATGTGAGTGTGCACGGAGGCTGGCCCTCCACCCCGGCTATGGGGTGCCGGGGGTGGGAGGTGGTGGAAAGGGGAAAGCACACACATGCTCCGGGACCACACAACAGAGGATGCAGGGCACATGTGCCCTCGGGCTTCACTCGTCCGCTGGAACCTTGCCGTGCCTAAGCCAAGGTCACTAGCGTGGGCTTTGGAGGGGAAGGGTTAATAAGCAGACCCCAACGCAACGGGGTCATCTCAATGGCACAATAAACCAGCCTTGCAAGAGCTCAGTCCACCCACCCCGCCCCAGGAAAGGTGAGGCCGCTGGTGACGACAACGGGCTCTGCTAAATGACGTCTCAAGAACAGAGATGCTCTCTCTTCCTTTCACAGAGACTCAGGCCCCGAGAGAGCAGGTCACCCCTTCTAATAGCACGGATGCAACAAGTAAGTGTCTCATTGACCTGACAACATTCACTGCCCACGGATGCTTCTTTTTGTGACAAAATTAAAAACAAACAGTGACAACTCCTGTTGACAGAGCTGTCTCTCCAGTCAGAACCCAGAACTTCCCTCTCTGCCTCAGACCAAGTTAGTGACTGTTGACAACGATCACTTTCCTCCAGGGCCGGTCCCGTCCTTCCGGCCTCTCCCATCCTGTCTCCGCGCAAACACAGGCTCCTTGCCATACACCCTGACACGAACATTCTGAGAAAACCGACCCACCACCTGCCCCTCAGTCGGCAGCCTCCGTGCCTCCTGTCCCTCTCTCACCTGGTGGACCCCCCTCTCCAGCTCTGGCCAGGCTGTGGTCTCCAAGTCTTCCCCCACATCCTCTTTCGAGAAGCCGGCCCCCACCACACCTGCCCACAGGACTCCTTCCTCTCAGGATCTGAAGCTGACCACGCAAGACTCAAGCCTCCAGCACTGTCTGGGGGTGTGAGGGGTCGCAGACGCAGTGGCCAAGCTCTCTTGCCTTCACGAACCTCGCGCTATGGACGGGCACCCGTGGGACGTTCCATAGCAGCCCTGGCCAGCTCCGCAAGGACGCTGAGCCTCTGCCACACGCTCACTGTCCACCAAAGTGAAGAGGACGCATTTCTGACACAGCGCAGTCAAAGCGCGTCCACACGACTCTGCAGGCGTTTACAGATTAAGGAAAATCCAAGTGACTTGCATCTGCCCCGGAGAAGGCAGGCTACCTCCCCAGGGTCTCCCGCCTCCAGGGGACCCCCCACCGGCTCCCGACCCTCTCACAGCCCTGCCCAGCGGGACAGCCCCACAACGGCCCCCGTTACCTTGATCTGCTTGATCTCGTACTGAATCCGTTTGATGGGGTTACCGTAGATGTCGTTCCCGGAATCCACCTCCTTCGCACTGACCGCTTTCGCCCTGATCACTGTGAGACAAAGACACAGAGGTCAGCAGAGCCCCCGCAACACCGTCCTGAGGCCGAGGAGGGGTGGGAGGAGCAAGCGAGTCGCTCCCCACACGCGCGGAGCGGGGTGGGGGCAAGAGGTGACGCTCTGAGACCCCTGCGGTCCCAGGATTCTTCGACAAGGACGCTGTCGGGGGCAGCAGGAGCCTGGTCTCGCAGGGCGAGCCGGCTTCCTGAGGCGGTCGCTGATAAAACTCTTCCTTGATGCTACGCTCAAGGGCTTGGGGGCTTTTTAAAATTCTCTCCGGTGCCCAGCGAAGTAACTGGGCACGATCGTCACCCTGCAATGGAGGATGGTGGGCACGATCGTCACCCTGCAATGGAGGATGGTGGGCACGATCGTCACCCTGCAATGGAGGATGGTG